TGCAATTGCCCGGAACACTGAGCAGTGGTTACACCACAAACCAGACCCCAGAATGACTCCTAACCACCTACATAACATCCCCCAAGGTTTCAGGGAACAAAATAAACACTGCCTGCTCATGGACACATGTCATCTGGGTGTTGTCTTAGCATCTTAGATAGTCTCTTGTCTGTAGATCTGACTGGAGTTTGGTAAACTGCTCGGCAACTCCTGCATCAGTTCCATTTATCATTTCTGCCTTGGTGGAAAAAACAGTCTGTCCTACAGGGGCCAAGTTGTGGTGTGCTTTCCTCTGGGACACACATTCTCCTGACTATAATTTTGGTCATCAGAAAATAAAAGACTCTGGCATGAAAGATACATTAAGATAACTGTTGAATTATGTCAGGCTGGATCCTGGGGCTCTGGGAACTGTAGGCTCTTCTTTCATGTTGATCCTCCCTCATCAGAGGAAAAACAAGATTCCCAGAAACCTTAAAATTGTAACACTAAGTTCACAATAACCTGATTTTTTTTTTAACTTATCAGGAAGCTGGATAAAGAGATAGGGGACTAAAAAAATTGTGAATTGGAACAGTAGAATGTATCTATTTTCTTGTTTTGGTGAAGTCCTGACTGTGGTCTCCACAGAACTTGTTTTCTTCCAGGAATACATTTTTCTCCTCAACTCAGCCAGAAAGACAGAAATGCTGTCACTTCTGTGGATCTGGAATTCTTTTGGAAAGAAAAAAAAATCTATGCACTGGGACATTCTGTAGGAAAGGAATTATTCACCATTAGAAAAAAAAGGTTTATTATTTATAAATCACATCAGGAAAAGTAATGGACAGGGATCATCATCTGTTGAAGAGAACATTTGTTGAGTTACAGAGTTCTTTGTTACGGTCTTTGTGGACCCAGAGGTTACTTGGGAGTGAGAACACAGCAGTGGAAATATTCCATCAGCTTGTGGCTTGTAGCAAATCTGATGAAGCAGAGGAGCCACAGCTGATGAGCACAGTTTGGAATGGTTTAAGTTACTATCTCCTTCTGGGCTTACAGAGTGGTGGCGTACTCATTCGCATCCATTTGTGAGAGCTGACTGATCCTGGCATGCCTATGAGGCTTTTCACTGGATTGAGCATTCAGAAGAACATGAAAGCAGTAATTCTTACCCTGGAATATTCTAGAACCACTAGCCTACCTGTCAGTCCATACCAATGAAGTCAGACTGGCTGGGTGACTCAGTATATGTCCTTTGTGAAGGACCCTCGAGGTGACTCCAGTGGGTGGAGCATGTCTTGTCTACTGAAAACCCGTATGAAATTGGAAGACAGTGAACCACATGGAGAGGGACTTGGTTGTCTCAATGGCCTTATTGACATCATTTCCCCCATCTAACCACTCCTTGTGTCTGCTTCATATTTTTATTCCTGAGAAGAATCCATCACTTCTGGAAATGAAATGTTCACATATGATGATCTGCTACAGCCTAGGGCTTATCAATGATTTAATTATCTAATTACTGGAGCAGGCTGCCAAACACAAAAGGATTCATTCAGTTTCACTATTTTATAACACAGCTCAAAGAACACTGGAATTTCTAATTCAATTTTTGTTCTTTTGAGACTCTTCTAGCGAGTTCTGCGTGTCTCTAATGATAGCTCTATTACTGGATTCATAACCACTCTGGAGCTGCATTTTATATTGGGTGCAGGATAATACAGGTGCTGAAGGAGGATCAGTGCTGCCACGACTTAATTATTCTCAATTGTTCTTGTATTAAATAGGCTCCCTTGGCTGAAAAGACAGAAGTTCATGGAGGAGGGGAGCCTGGGACACTGAGAATACAAAGATTGGGGCGGAGATGAGGCGAGGATAGCAGCCAGGTTAAGAAACAAAGCACGTAAGCACGTACCTCCCCCCCCTCCCCTGTCCACCCTGGAAACTGCTAACACTTCTAAGCCCAAGAGCTCATTGCTCGTTTTCATTCACTCCCAGAGAGAACCAATGAAGTCGAGTGGTACTACAGGGATAAAGAAACCCATAGGGCTCAGCTAGTATTGCTAAACCTTGGCCAAGAACTTTCTTGTTAAGCAATGGACAGTTTTAAACTGTGCTGATGTAGGTTCGAGGGTTGACAGGGGTGGTAGGTGGTAGGAGATCTCTTCCAACCATCCCAGAACCAAACAAGGCCATGTACCAGCCAAGGAGGTAACATACCCACAGCAATAAATGTGTCTCAAATGCTTATGAAATAGCTAAGGCAGCTGTGCTCCTGATAAAGCAATGCCACCCATGTCCCCAAAGCAACAGCTGCTCACTTTGGAGAGCAGTTAGAGCCTACTGTAGAAATGATAGATTCAGTCTGCAAGGGGCGGGCACTGCAATGTGGGACTGGTTAGGGGGTGTCCAATCAGGAACACAATTTCCAAACAGCCAGCAGGTGGAGCTAAAACTCAGCTGCAGTGTGAGGAGGGGGCATGCTGTGGAATAATCCTTCTGTACATTGAAAATATGTGTTGCTCTCATTGTTAATAAAAAGCTGATTGGCTGATAGCTAGGCAGGATTTTTGGGGCAGAGAGAATTCTGGGAAGAAGGGCAGAGTCTGGGGAGTTGAGAGCCAGACACAGAAGAAGCCATGTAGGAAGTTCATAAATGAGGTAAACAAGCCTTGGGGCAGCACATAGATGGATAGAAATGGGTTAAGTTATAAGAGATGGCTGAAGAAAAGCCTAAGCTATCAGCCAATCATTTATAATTAATATTAAGTTTCTTGTAGTTATTTGGGACTAACTGCTGGGACAGAAAAACTCTGTCTACAGGGGCAGACTCCAGACAAACTGGGAAAGAAATTGGGAGGTGACAGGTGGTGTCTGACCTACATGCCTGTCCTTTGGCCTTGGGAGCACCAAACAATTGAGTTTTAATTATTCTCTAACACATGAAAATGGAAGTGTTTTATATCAAACCTATTTCCAGATTTTCTGGGAGTACTGAAAATATCCAGAAACATGGTATCTAAGTTCACAGGGATAGGGATGGCAGCTGCTTTTTAAAGGGGCTGATTCCTTTGTCCCTCCTTGCTTCCTCTGTCCCTTCATTGTTAGGACACTGAGGACTGAAAACATTCTACTCTGTCATTCCAACCACTGACAGAGACACTGTACTTCATTGCAAAACCAATTCATTTTTATTCTCATTCTTCCTCCCGCCCCTCTTCCTACCTTCCTTTCCCTTCTTTGCAGAGAGATGGCTCAATGCACAAGAGTACTTGCTGTACAAGTATGAGGACCTGAGTTTGAATCTCTAGCACTCATATAAAAAACAGGGCATGGCTGCACAGTCCTGTGATCTCAGCATTGGAGGACAGGACAGGTAGATCCCAGGCGCTCAATGGCCAGCCAGCCTAGCTGAAGCAGCAAGCTTTACTTCAGTAAGAGACCAGGCTGCAAAGCAATACAGTGAAGAGCAATGGAGGAAGAACCCCAAGGTCCTCTTCTGACCACTGCACACACAGGTGCATGGGCACACATCTGCACACTTACATGCATACACCACACACACATATATGTCTACCCCATACACCTAAAATGAAAAAAAAAATTTTTTGCAAGGCAAAGGGAAGTCCATCTGAGATGGATTTCCACAGATGCACCAGAGGTGCATGTAAATAAAGATGCACCAAATGTCCCAGGTTAGGTCTAGGACAGAGAGAAAGAGTGGTGGATAGTGGTGTCTGAGCACTAAGCAGCGTGGGCTGTTTCATCAGCCCTCTCCTTGTACTCCAGGGTCTCAGAGGAGGTCTTCCAAAGCAGTTGTCCTTATTTTATATTTTCATTTTAACTGAAAGTAGGAGAGGTGGTTTGGGGACAGGATCTTATCATGCAGTAGGCTGGCCTCAAACTCATGAACTTCCTGCCTCCCAGTGCTAGGATTAGAGAGACCTGAGTTATGTATGACTCCACGCCCGGCTCTGGCTGCCCCTCCCCCTTTCCCACTGTTAGACACTGGTGGCGGGAAAGCATATTCTTAGCTTTAATTAGGTGGGGAAACATGTTGGGTTTATGGCACTGGGGTGCAGAAGTTACTGTGGTTCCAAGTCCTTTCCTGCCTCTACCTCACCACTTGGGCGTTGCTTCCACAGGCTACAGAGGAGCCCCGCCCATGTGGCTGTCCCAGCTCCTGGGTGTGTTCGACTTTTAACAATATTTGGATTATGAGCTTCTCAAAGGAGGCCAAAGAGATGTCTCCATAAAGCCCAAGCTAGAACTATGCCCTCCGTGTCCAAGTCCTTGTCAAAGGCAGGGAGGGCGAGGCTGTGCCAGAGGCACACAGGTGACCTCATGCTGTGTTGAGCCTACCAACTCCTTAGGGCTCAAGCCAGGAGATGGAATATCCCACTTTGTCAGATTGACAGTGTTTGCTGACCAAGATCTAGGGTGCAAAGCTGTAGGTGCCTTCCCCTCGATCCCTTACAGCTCATCTACTGCTCGGTGACGAAAAACGACAAAGGAAACCTGGGACATACCACCCCGATAAAATGCACATGTTCTGTTCTCAACACATCATCCACAGTAGCTTTTTCCCCCCACCCTTATTAATTCATCTTCTCCGCTAAACTCATAGTTCTGGAGGAGGGGGGGGGAACTGTTTCCCCGAGGAGGAGGAGGGAGGGGCTTCCACCGCGCTGAGAGCCGGCAGCCTTGGCTGGCAGCATGCTCCACGGGGCAGCTCTCTTTTCAGCCCTCTTCCACAAAAGCAGGTGCTGGAAGGTTCCTTCTCTCATGTAAAGCACTTACTGTCAAAGGCAGTCGTCATACACTGGCTATAATTACAGGGGAAGGTTCTAGACCAGGCTTCCAGGGAAACAAGGAAGCTGTGCCGTTATGATTACACGTGCAGGACCTTCAGTTAGCTCCCGGGGAGAGTAGGTCAAGGGGCCCCGGGCTGGGGCTACGGGGGAGAGAGAAACCAGATCAAGAGCCACTGAGACAGGGGACACATCTGTGAGAAGTACCTGGAGCTGCCTCATTTGCTGGAGCTGGAGCCTGAGTTCCGCCACGTTCCGCCTCATGTCAAGCAGGCTCATGTGGATGGATGAGGTCGCGCCGGCAGGCAGGGGTTGGCTGGGGGGCAGTGGGGATTCCAAAGTGCCCAGACTCTTCCCAGCAGAAACATGGACCGTTCCTGTGAGGGAGAAAAAAAAATAACAAAATTAAAAAAAACGAAAAACAGCAGAGGCCTTAGAATGGAGACAGCACCTGAGCGGTGAGGCCTATCTCCACACAGATGACTAAAAAGTTAATTATGAACATCAGGAAAACAATAGGTCACAGGATGCTAAGAGTTGCAGTGTGTGACCATCATGTTCTAGAAGCTTCACTGTCGTGAGATGGCAGAGCGGTACTGTAAGCATGATGTCATGTCAGGGAGGCTAAGTGTCTATGCTGCTGCCAGCCCCTCTGTTTCCATCCATGTCCCCTCCTCCGCCCCTCGGTCCCTCCCTCCTCTCTCTCCATCCCCCTGTGCCGTGATTTCCCCACCTTCCTTTTTCTTTTTCTTTAATTACACAAGGTTTCACAGACAAAAGTTGAAAAGCATCTAGAACAAATATTAACAGCATTTCTGGCTGCTGCTATTCCAATAATCTTATTGCTAAATTTTAGATTTTTTTTTTTTTTTTTGGTTTTTTCGAGACAGGGTTTCTCTGTGTAGCTTTGTGCCTTTCCTGGAGCTCACTTGGTAGCCCAGGCTGGCCTCGAACTCACAGAGATCCGCCTG